TATGTAGCTATATATATATATATATATTAGCAATTAATGTAGTTTATTTGTCGTTTTTCTTGGCGCATATCTTACAAAATGGGCTATCTGCACTCTGTAACACCGTGGAAAAACGAACACCAGATTTTAACGTTGTAAACCCATAAACGTACCGCTGACCCATCGGAGAACAAAGTATTATTATCTTTGTTGTTTGTTTAGTGTAAAACAAAACTATGAAATGGCCTATCTGTGCTTTGTCAATCGCGGGGAATCAAGGCTCGGATTTTATCGTTCGTAATCTTATTATGACCCACCGGGAACTATTCAATGTGAAAGAACATTCACTTTCATGCACGTCAATAGTAAACCAAAAATACTCATTTTGTCTAATTAATTTCTACGATGTCATACTATAGTCAACACTGTATACTTTAAAGAAACGTAAAAATCAATAAACCACAAATATCTACTTACAAAATTGAATAATCACACACTATTAATTCATAGTGACTTAAAATGAGAATCTGATTTTTTTGGTTAAGCTAAAATTGTTGCTATTACTAATATTTAGTTAAAGAAACGGCTTTGAATCACTTCATATAATCACAACTTCAAAGCTTGTTTTGCAGCAAATTGCATTTTCAATGTTCCGTTATACTTTCCGTCGTTGTAAAAAATGTTGTATTTTACGGTGATAAACATTAAGTTGAAGTCTGATTTCAAGTTGCAGATCATCTATAGAATATTAAATTAATGCTTACCATTAATTACTTGAAATTTTAGTTAATTATTTGATGACAATTTCTACAACATTGTTTCGTAAATTTACGGACAATTCTTTAAAGAGACCTACACGTAAGCAGTTAATAAAGCTACACAATGGGCTATTTGTACTATGCCCATCACGGTATCGAACACTGATTTATAGCGTATAAGCCCTCAGACTTACCGCTGAGCCACTCAAACAACAATTATCAATTCTCTTCATTAGAATATAGGACCGGGTGTGGTCTAGTGGTTAGAGGGTTCGTACTGTGAATCTGAAGGTTCGTAAAAACGTGCTTTGTATTTATGGCGTTGGATGCTCTATCAGAGCATCGGACAGATCAGAGAAGAATAAACCTAGTGTTGGCGGAGTGTGCTGTTGACAAGCAGCCTATCAGTTCAAAAGCAGAAACAGCCATCTACAAATAGCCCTTGTATAGCCGAACATTCTCAAACAAACTAATTAAATCCTTAGAATACTTAAACGGATTTAAATAATAATGACAAAAACTACTGCATCTTTTCATAAATTTCACTTGTAATTCTGTTGATCGTGTGTTATTTTAACGCATAAAGACCATAAAATAATTTATGTAGGTTAAATGGAACTGCTTCTTAAATGGTTCAAAAGGTTAATTAGTGTGTGCGTATTAAAGCGTTGGTGAGTTTCTGAATAAGTAAAGACGTAGTTATACGAATGATAAAAAGCAGGTCGCGGGTTCGAATCCCTTCACTGAACATGCTCGCACTTTCAGGAGTTATAATGTGACGGTCAGTACCTTGTTTTGGTTTTTTTAGAGCAAAGCCGCATTGGGCTATCTGCTGCACTCCCCCCTACGGGGAATCGAACCCCTGATATTAGCGTTGGTTAAGAGTAGCCCAAGTGTTGGCGGTTGGTGGTGTTTACTAATTGTCTTCGTTCTAGTCTGTCACTTTTAAATTAGGGATTGCTAGCACAGACAGCCCTCGAGTAGCCTTGCGCGAAATTCAACAAACAAACAAATATACGAATGTTATACAAAGATAAATCATAAGAAGAGTTTGAAGCAAATCTATAATATTAAGTTCATTAGAGCATAGAAAGGAATTTACTGGATTGAACTGGTCTAGTTAAATCTAAGGCTAGGTTGTTTTTAAAGGAAATTAGAATTTCTTTAAAAATGCTTTTAATTATTACAATGTAAAATTTTAGTCTCTGATTAGCTCTTTATATTTTCAGGTCTACTTGGCTTTCGTAAGCTAAACTTTTCTTATAATTATTCCAAGCTGAGGAGCAGCTGTGTCTTCCGAAGAAAAGGAAGTAAGTAAACAATTAACGCAAAGTAACGAAAATCCGGAATTAACAATAAATATTACAGATTTTAGTAATTGTTATTTACACGAATATTTACAATGTCAATCAAGGACTTAATTTGCTGAAACTGGGCTTAGAGTCTAGAGTAAAAACAGTTATGTAGTGTACGGGCTTGACTACTTGTTGAATCTGAGCTTAGAGTTTAGTGTACTAATAATTATATAGTGTATGGGCTGGACAACTTGTTGAAACTGGGCTTAGAGTCTAGACTAGTAATAATAATATAAGGAGATCTGGCTTTACTATTAGTTTTACTACAACTGATTTGTCTTACACACATTTAAAATCCAAGGGTTCATATGTGGTGTGACGTAACGTGAATGGTATTTATGGCGGATATGCGTAATATAATTTGAATCTTAAATCTACATCATAAGCATCCACACTGCATTTTAAATAAGGATTTATTTATTGTTCCTCATGATCTCCGTGACTATTGTAACTGTTACACCAATGATGGTTGGAGACGGCTTGAATGGGTAATGAAGAAAAACTTTGATATAAGTTTAACATAACAGCAAATGTACAACGTTTCGACAAGGTTTTGTCATCATCATGTTACACTGTTCTGTTAATTATCTTTTATAGTTTTCTCACAAACTCAGTTTTTTCCTAGAAAGTCAGCTCGACTGAGTAAATACCGGATGATTATTTATCACCGTTTGATGCCCAAAGCCGGTAACTGGCGCCACCTATAATGTATTATACGATACTACACCCACTAATCGTAGAATCTCCTATAGGCCCGCATGCTGTTGAGTCACAACAGAACATTTCGTGTGAAATGTGCTGACTCGTGTATACTTCGCACAACACTCAGAGAAAGGAAGATGCAATTTACGCAGCGCTGGTTTCAGATTTTGGATGGCGTTAAATTACCATATGTGCCATTGTAAAATAAGAACAATAATTTTAGGAGAGCTTAAATATTTTAAACTATCAGTAATAAACTTGCGATCGGAGGATTTAGTCGCTGCCGTATAGAAGTGGACCAGTTAGCAACTGTTGCTCTAATGTAAGTATTTGTATTAAATATATTTGTTTTTAATCCCCCCTCCCAAAAAAAAGCGAATGACACTTTTTCTAGCAAAGAATTTAAGATAGTATTACTATTCATACTAGCAGTACTAAACGTACTAGTCGATGTAATTAAAAATGCAAACTGTTGTGCTATTAATTATGAACTCGTTATTAGTTAATAGTATAGTAACGTAGGACAGAAAACATGGAAAATAAAACTACACACAATGTTGAAAGTAGATTTGTCTATTGGTAGCTGAATATCTTCGCAGCAGACAATATTTAATTTTAAACATTTAGAAATATTTATTAACTGGCAAATAGCTTTTGTTCCAGACAACACTAGCACTAAGTGTCGTTATGTGATTAACTAATACTACGCATAACGCCAAGTTTTGGCTATCACTAGAGCTTTATCTGTTGTCATGGGTAACACTTAGTCTTGCCTATTACTAGAGCTTTATCTGTTGTCATGGATAATACTTCGTCTTGGCTATCACTAGAGCTTTATCTGTTGTCATGGATAATATTTAGTCTTGGCTATCACTGCTTGATTAACTAATGTTATAGAGAATCGCTAGGTGACTCACTAATATTTTAGGCACTGCTCAGTCTCGGCTATCACTATATGATTAACTAATGCTATAGATAACGCATAGTCTTGCTTATCCTTAGATAACTAGTAAAAGTTATAGACAATTCTTAGTCTTGACTATTACTAGATGATTAACTAGTGTTATAGCAGACAACGCTTAATCTTTGCTACCACTGGCTAATTAATTAATGTTATAACTTAGAGATGGCGCCTAGTTTTTGATCTCACTGTATGGTTGATCACAACACTTAGGTTGGCTATTACTGGATGATTACCTATCATTTTAAACAACGCTTAGTCTTGTTTATTATCAATTCATTAACAGGCTATTACGACACAACCATTTTGAGCCTATAGTCCGATACGATGAATTGAATGCATTAGGTTTTAGAGAAAATCTAGATATATTTTCTGCCAAAAAGGAAGAGTTTAGTGCCTGGTGTCTCAATTTGTCTGTGGAGAAGCATCGAACATCCATATCGTCTGCTATTGAAAAATCTGTCGATAAGGGAATAGTCATAATTGTTTACAACTAAATTAAGCATAAATTTTGTATTATCTCATGATTTCCAGTACGTAAGGATTCATATTCAACAGAAATATTGTTTCATAGTTGTGATTTTTCTGTGAAGAAAAAAAAAAATGTATATATTATATTGTTTAAAGACTGGTGCATATATATACTTATTGACACACGAGTGATAACACCAACTTTCAAATTAAGATTTTAATGTGTTTATTTATATCTCGTGTGTGAAGTTTCAAGTATGGAGTGTTTGAATCTCGTTCGTAAGCCTGAATGGGACCCGAAAATCAATAAATTCACAGAAAAGATGACAAATCACTGTCAGAATATTAAGGATCTATCTATCTCCATTCTTGACGAACAAGTACCGTATGTTTTTACTTAATTTAAAACAACAATAAATAAAATAAAACAATATAAACCTAACAATCTAAACAATGTAATTGAGAAACCTTTAATATTATTAGTATTTCCAAAATAGTTTTTATTTAAACTAGTGAACGGAAAGAGATCAGGTAAAATAAAAAATAAAAGTTTGATGAGCCATTTTATCCTTCGTCAAATAATTATTAATGTTTTTCTTTAATACTAGAATTACCAGCGAGATCCTTATGATCAAAGCGGCTTTTTGAACACATTTGTCTAAACTGTTATTATAGACCAACTTGAACGTGGGTTCAGGATGACTTTCTTGGTTAAAGCGCTTTTAATAACCGACGAGTTACACAAAATGCAAGTAATCCCTATACTTATTGCTGGGGTATTCTGTGCATATTACATACAAAATGGAAGATTTCCTTCAGTTGTTTGAGTGTTCTACCAAACGGGCAAAAACGTAAAATGACTTAATATGTTTCAACATGTGGATCTCAAGACAGTAATTTGCGGTTAAAGGCCTTATTCGTAGCTTCATTTTCGAACTATTACATTAACGTAAAGGAAAATGTTAAGGGGGAGGTCGAAAAAAGGAGAGGACAAAGTTGTCCGAAGCATTTGAAACTTCTGAGATCATATCCTGGTTTGGCAGGTATTACTGACACGAATATAAATAACCTACCATGACTCATTTCTTCTGAAAACACCGGTTTCTAACTGGTCGGAACAGCTAGTAAATATAAATTGTGTGCATAGTTTCAGGTAAATAATTCACAGGTATAAGTCAAATCCTGCAGCTTAAAAACATTGTTATTTCGACGCTCCCTCAAGTGTCATTTTTAACATGTCGACGACCTATTTTTTATCATTTTAAAATGAACGAGTTTTTCTTTCATCATTGTTTATGAGTCACTCACTCAGGTGGATATGCGTGGGAGGATGTTAACACGTTTAAAAAGTCTCTAATACGGTGCCAGCATTCTAACCTCCTTTTCCCCCACACACACCCTGAAAACAAAATAATATTCAGCAAAACATTCTGTTTTATGTTAATCGTTGTAATATTTAGTTCTTACTAAATAAAATATAAAAACGTATGTATGGCAAGCATGCAATTCATGCTTACTTGTTTCTGGAAGTTTTACATTTTTTGTCTTATTTGTCTGTTACGGGTCTCTCTAAATAAGGAATAAGTACCATTGTTTTTAAATGACCTTGGTTTGTTTTTCTTATTCGATGCATTTTTCTTTTCTTTTTTGCTTTCTAACTCTCTTCTTGTTAGGCACATTACAAACAAAGAAATACATTATAATGGCTGGAGACGGCTTAAATGGGTAATGAAGAAAAACTTTAATATAAACCTTGTC